ACATTTTGCTTCATCACCGGTCAGATTTCTATTATTATTATTACTCAATTATTGACCTTTGCTTTTCATACCTATGTGAATTGACCCAAAACGAAACAAAGAAATAACAAATCAATAAAATTGAAAACAAAAATTTATTATGGATACATATTTGCATACATGCATATCCAAGCGATTCTTTGGTTGTAAACCAAATGAAAATGCCGGCGGCAAAACGCAATTCTTACATTCGTACATTGCATATCCAAGCCATTCCCTGGTTGACGACAAGACGCGATTCTGTACTTTTGTGACTCTATAATTATTTAAATAAATATATCAAATATCAATCAAAGAATTTGGTTGGCCATACATATATTTATTTCTCATCAATATGTTATAAATGTGAGTTAAGTTCCCTCGTCGTGAGGTGAAATCCCCGGTTGAAAATTTGCAAATGTTCGCTGTCGAATTTGCACCTTCTCGTTATCATGTGACTCTATTCGTACGCACCATAATCGCTTAATTAAATGCGACACTGGGTAAGGAACAGGGGAGACCGGAATGATACGATAAAGGGACAGTAGACACTAGATAGGACGAAGACAAAAGACAAGACAGTCAGAAAGGGCACAAAGACGGACCACGAAAGCGTTAATAAGCAAATAAATAATTATAAGTATAAATATATAAAAGGTGCGTTTATATTATATCGCATAATACTACTATAAATATTCCCGCCTTATTACATTGAGATACCTAACTAAGCCAGAGAGGAGGAAATCATTATAATAGAAATTATTATGGGGTCTAAAAAGTCTAGATGTAGTCAAAAATATACAGCATTTGTAACAAAAGCAGGTTTGTTTGAATTTGCTAAGACACCGTTTGGATTTTGTAACTCGCTAGCCGTGTTCATGCGGTATGTACTAAACAACATTTTTCGGCAGATGATAAATGATATTATGGAGTTATGTGTATGGTAGACGACATAGTTGTTTTCGGTCTGGAAATAAAAAGGTCCAAATGCAAATTATTAAAAGAAAAATTTGGTTTTGGGGCATAAAATACACAAAGGTAACGTTTGGCCTGGAAAAGATAAAATTAAAGCTGTTAAAAATTTCATTGTACCCAAAAACATAAGAGGCGTCCAAGCTCTCCTAGGTTCAATGGGATATTTTTAGGAATTTTATCCAAAACTATGCCATCGAAGCTAGGCCACTAACAAAGTTGTTGAAGAAAAAAGCAGAATTTCAGGTTGGTTCTGCGCACCACTGCGCAGCAACAAGCAATACTTGATTCAATGTCAGTTGTTTCGCAAGAGCCCGTTTAGAAAATTTTTAAGCAGAATGGTAAAAATATTAACTTGGAGGGAAGTGATATCCTGTACTTTATTGGAGTCACAAGACCTCACCTCAAGAAGAAAGACTACAAGTTACTCTCTCGAAGTCAAAGCTTTAGCAACGAAAAGATTACACCAATATTTAATGGGAATTCAGTTTGATTTAGTTACCGATTGTTCGGCGTTTAAGCATACTGCTATGAAAAAATACGTACCCAGAGAAGTAGTTCAATGGCTTATGTAAAAGTTTTTTACTATAATATTAAATACCAAGCGGGAGAGAGAATAAAGCACGTCGACAGCATAAGCCGTTATCGTTATCGGTTATGGTCGTTACATCGGAAATGCAAGTACGAATTCAGAAGGCGCAGCAGAATGATGCGTATCTAAAAGCGAAAGCTGAAATTCTTGACGATAAACCATACGCAGATTACGTCATGAAAAACGGAGCACTATATAAGCAGTGGAAGGGTCAGGAGCTTTTGGTCGTACCGAGAAATATGGAAAAATAAATAATACGCAACGTTCACAATTCCGACAAGATTTTTTTATAGCGCATTTAGAAAGAAAGGTGAAGTTGCACATATCAAACTGCGTTGAATGGTTAGTACACAATCGTAAAGCAGGAAGACATGAAGAGTTTTTGCATTGCATAAATACAGTTGACTGCCCACGTGCAACTATCCACAGAGAAGAACTAAGTATATTTTCTTATAGCTGATGGTTTTTTCAAATTCATTTGGCTATTTTCGACCAAAATAATAGACGATCAGGAGGTTACAAAGTATTTGAGAACTGGGATCACAATTTTTGGAATACCGCAACGTATTATAATTTATTTTAAACATTTTGTAGCGAAAATAAAAAATAAAATTGAGAATATCAAAATAACCACAGAGGTTCCGAGAGGCAATGGCCAAATTCAACGAGTCAGTAGAGTAATCCTTTCTATGTTGACGAAGTTGTCAGCTAGTGATCTAGCTTAGTGGAACAATTATACATCGATGGTACAAAAAGCTATAAATTCGCACGCTCACTCAGCAACAAAACTTACAACATATGACATTATGTTTGGAGTAAAAAATTAAAAGCGAAATGTCCACTGACATTATAAAACTACTCCCAAAAGACTTGTTGGAGGTATTCCAAGAAGAACGTCGTACTCTGAGAGAAGAATGCAGGGTGAACATTCACAAAGCTCAGGAAGCGTATAAAAGAAACTTTGACAAAAAAAAAAAAAAACGAAAAAGCAACAAGTAAGGAAGGGCTAAGTTCGGATGTAACCGAACATTTTATACTCTCGCAAAGTCAAATGGTAAACTCGTTTGAGATTTCTTTGTGGATTGACTGATATTTTCGGTAGAAGGTCAACTATAGGCACTGGGGTCCACATATTTAGTACTTAGGGGTTTGAACAGTTTTGGTTCGATTTAGACAATTTTTGGCCGCAAGGTGGCATACTTTAATTGCATTATTTCCGCAAAGTTTTACCCCGATATAATCATTGTTACCTGATTTGCATAGTGGAAAGAGAAAGAATCAGATGGAATTGAAAATGGTGTTACATGGGAAGTAAGCGTGGTTGTAGTCCGATTCGCCCATTTTCGCACTATGACATGAAACATGAAAGAACGTTATGCACCGAATTTGGTTGAAATCGGTTGAGCAGATCTCAAGATATGGGTTTTCACCTAAAAGTGGGCTGTGCCACGCCCACTGTCTAATTTGGAACGCGGTTCCATAAAGCCAATTATACCATCTCAGAGATAAAATTTAATGTCTCTGGCGTGTTTAGTGCTTGATTTATCGCGCTTTTAGTAGTTTTTAACAGTACCGTTATATGGGGACTGGGCGGAGTTGCCACCCGATTTCAACTATTTTCACACCGTCAATAGAAGTGCTAAAAACATTTGCTTCTAGTGAATTTTGTTGTTATAGCATTAGCGGTTTAGGAGATATGCACATTAAACCTATTAGAGGCGGGACCACGCCCACTTTTAAAAAAAGTTCTAACTGCAGATGCCCCTCCCTAATGTGATCCTGTGTACCAAATAACAGTCTTGTATCTTATTGCGGAGCTTAGTTATGGCAAGTTATTTGTTTTTGATTAATGGCAGTGGTCCGATTACGCCCATCTGCAATACCAACCGTCTCACGGTACCAAGAAACATGTCTACCAAGTTTCATAAAGATATCTCAATTTTTACTCAAGTTAGAGCTTGCACGGACGGACGGACAGACAGTCACCCGGATTTCAACTCGTCTCTTCATCCTGATCATTTATATATATATAACCCTATATCTAACTCGATTAGTTTTAGGTGATACAAACAACCGTTAGGTGAACAAAACTATTATACTCTGTAGCAACAGGTTGCGAGAGTATAAAAAGAATACGAAAGAGGGTATTTGGTTGAGAAAAAAGTAATTAAATTTTTGAATCAAAAGTTATCAAACAAATTTAATTTAATTAAAGTTATTGAAATTAACGTAATGGGAGATATGTTGTCGAAGAAACAGCAGATTTTATGGGCCAGAGGGTTACTTCCACTAGAGTGGATAATATAAAGCTTTGAACACATTTAGAGGTTGATGAAGATTTGTCATCCGGACAGATGACGAGCAGGATGACCGAATGTGATGTTGGCATCACAGGGTGAAGAGGGAAAAAAATAGAAGAAGCCAGAAGTTAAGCGAAGCCAGCAGAGGATCTCTTTTTTTAATAAATGCGAATTAGTTTTTAAATTTAGTTAAGACATTTGATAAATAACAAACTACATTTTAAACAATAATTCCCATTCTTTACATGGATTTATATTGAATGTTAAATAGACATTACGAATAAATTTTAATTACGTTTCAATTGATACGAGTTCGCTGCGTATTTTACGCTACAAACAGTAATACTGGAAATATATTATTATCAGTAACGACTTATCAACACAAAAAGATAATCCTTAAAGAAATGCCACTAATCAGTTTAATTCTGGTTAAACCATACCTAAATGATGCCTAAAAAGACGATACCGAAACATAAAAGCACAAATGTTTAAATAATTGTATGGTTTAGAAAGAAAAAATTTTAAAACTAGACACATATGTATTTCCTCTTGTACACCAAAAATGGGGAACACAACGGATAACAACTATTTTGGCATTTGAAATTATTATATCTTACTTCCATATCGTGTAACATCTGGTCTTTGCATATGACTATAATCGTGGTGTGTTATTTATACCATATATTAGAATAATTTCTAGATGGACCTCCTTAAACGCCTATACTAACTTACTTTTCTTCGAACTGCCAATATGTTTTACTAAAAATTGACGCAAGTGAAAATCATCTACTGCTCACTCTGGTTATGGATGGCCAGACATTGGGAAAGTCTTAGCTCTCTTGGAATAAATAAGCATTAACAACGACAGAGCGAGTACCGATTGGTTGTTCCGAAAAGATTCAGAGCTAATAAGTGACCTACACAAGAAGGAACATTACTGGAGATAAGCTTTGTTTTCTTTCGCGTCGATGTACATATGTTATGTTATTTCATGTTTTAAAATTTACTAAAATGTAGTAACTTGCCCTGCCACTGAGACAAATCATAGAAAATTTGGACATTAAAGTAAATTTTTCAAACAACCTAGCCTAAATTTGTTTATTATAATTAAAACTTACTGGAATGATTGTTTCCCAATGTTCTTCACGGGGGTTTTCCAAATCAATGATAACAATTCTGTAATTGGGAGAATTTTTGTTTGTCCTAAAATACATTTTTGGTCCGACATTGGTAATGTACTGAAAAAATAATTTAGAAATATTTAAAGTGAACTCGTTTTGTAATTACTTACCTCATAATCATATTCAAATTTATCTATCACTTTTATCACATTTAAGCCTGACTGTATTTTGTCCGATTCATTTAATTCAATGTAATAAAGAAGATTATCGCGGCAACCTTTAACTATGGGCATGATCAAATACCTTCCACAATCAGACACGACAGCTTGTCTAAAAAAAAGTCAATAAACATTCAAATAATTGGTAAGGTAAATTCGTAAAAAAAACAGGCATGTTTTTGGGATCTTTTTTTTACGATACTGTTAAAAAAAATGTATTAAAACCACAGAACAATAAAAAATGGCACACGGAAATAAATAGTACATTAAAATATGACATTTGGAAAAATAAAAACACACGCAATTTTCCAAAAAAAATAAAAATAAATAAAGGAAGGGCTAAACTCTCTAAAGGATTAACGATGCAGAAATATTTTCAGGTGTTGGCCAAACTTTGTATTAAAACATGTTGAAAAATAATTCAACATTCATTACTTGTATTTCAAGACTCCTCATGGATAACAATCAAATGTAATATCTTATAAACTTATGTATATTATAGGTTGTGCGCTCACTTAGTTTCATTACTACATTCTGTTTCGCGGAAAATTTTAGACGATTTCTGCACTAAACTATAATATATCCAATATTATACGTTCACTTAACTTTTCTAAGATATATTACAAATTGATCGTTTTATACGGTATAAGTTCGGAAGTTCGAAAATCTTTATATGTGGTATATGCAAGGGTGTTTAAATGAGCTAAGCCTCAGTAAATAATCACACCATTCTACTCTGAAAAAACTGGCGCCCCCTAATAATGCTCCCACATACTCACCAATACACCACACACCACAATACAACAAACTACAACAGCTTATTCGATACGACAGCTCCAGCGCGCAACTATTTCGACTCGACACCACTCCGCACGCATCTTATACATTCTAAGCGCTAGAACCACTTTTTTATTTATAATTTTAGCGGCGGGTGCTCCATACAAATTGTGTATCGCTTTAAACATGGTCTTTCCAGCCTTACCGAAAGGCACCTTCTCATTTTTCCAAAACATTGTGTTAAGAAACATAATAACTAAACAGTGGTAACAAAAATTTGAAGACACAAGACAAACCATAAAATAAAACAAAAACAAAAAAAGGTTCAGTGCGGTGAAGTGCAGTGGCAAACAAAATAATATACATAAACATAAACAAAAATACTAAGGAGGAGTGCAGTGACACAAAAAAAATATATAAAAACATAGCGCAGTGCAGTGGTGGAAAAATATCCATACTGGTATATAGACATACTATATAAAGAAAAAGTGCGTGTAGCCCAAAACATAAAAACAAATACAATAGGGCTAAAACATATAAAAATTCACACAACCGGGCGCAAAACCTAAGCACAAAACATAAATAAGAACAAACGTGCGCGAATTTTTAAACACAAAACGCACAGGCATACTAACAGAACCCTACCCATGCAGAACCAAAGTGAGCGTATTTATTTGACTTGTTATTTTATATATGTAAATATGTATGTTTGAATACGGTAAAATCTGCAACAGTAAATGCGTTTTTACAAATATAAAAAACCATTATCAAACTGTTATAAATCACGGGTAAAAATCGAAATACCGCTGACATTAAAAACAGTTTGGTACAATATATATCTCCAAATATATAAGTAAATAATTATTGTATGCCTATATAAATAATTGTTTTATGCCTTACCTTTGTGTTTTCAAACAGCCATATTTCACAAACATTAAAAACAAAAACATAATTCAAGTATTTACTTGCAAATATTTTCGGCAATACCCATTATGTTTAACAAAGACAATAAGCAGGATTGCTATAAATAAGTAAGCAAAGGCAGAATTAAAATTATCAGGGGTGTTGCAGAATCTGGTAGTTGTCGGTATCAGAATTAAAACCGATAAAAAAAATGTAGTAGGTGTCATGAATTCAGATATTACGTTTGACGTTCGAAACAGAAATTTTATCGGTTTTGGGTGTCACGAAAACCAATTGTAACGGTTTTGATATCAGAAACAAAGCAACAGGATATTCGCTGACAGATTTGAAATGTAACTTCAAAAAATAATTTGTATTATTGTTACGATTTAATTAATCGTTATTTCTATAGACAACAAGTAAGGAAGGGCTAAGTTCGGATGTAACCGAACATTTTATACTCTCGCAAAGTCAATATATACTGTTTGATTTCTTTGTGGATTGGCTGATATTTTCGGTAGAAGGTCAACTATAGGCACTGGGTCCCATATTTAGTACTTAGGGCTTAAACAGTTTTGGTTCGATTTAGATACTTGGCACAAGGTGGCATACTTTAATCGCATTATTCACGCAAAGTTTTATCCCGATACAGTTATTGTTGCTCGATTTGCATAGTGGAAAGTTAAATCAGATGGAATTTAAAATGGTGTTATATGGAAAGTAGGCGTGGTTGTAGTCCGATTTCGCCCATTTTGCACTGTGACATAGAAACATGAAAAGAACGTTATGACGAAATTGGTGAAATCGGTTAGCAGATCTCAAGATATGGGTTTCACCTAGCTGGGCTGCTACGCCCACTGTCTAATTTTGAACGGGTTCCTATAAAGTCATCTCATACCATCCCAGAGATAAAATTTAATGACTCGGCGTTAGTGCTTGATATCGCGCTTTTAGTAGTTTTAACAGTATACCGTTATATGGGAGTGGGCGGAGGCCACCGATTTCAACTATTTTCACACCGTCAATAGAAGTGCTATTTGCTTCCAGTGAATTTTGTTATTATAGCATTAGCGGTTTAGGGATATGCACATTAAACCTAATAGAGAGGGACCAAAAATTTTAACTGCAGATGCCCTCCCTAATGTGATCCTGTGTACCAAATAACAGTCTTGCTTATTGCGGAGCTTAGTTATGGCAAGTTATTTGTTTTGATTAATGGCGTTTGTGGGCGTGGCAGGTCCGATTACGCCCATCTGCAATACCAACCGTTCACGGTACCATGAAACATGTTACCAAGTTTCATAAAGATATCTCATTTACTCAAGTTAGAGCTTCGGACGACGGACAGACGGACGACAGACGGACGGAGGACAGAGTCACCCGGATTTCAACTCGCTCTTCATCCTGATCATTTATATATATATAACCCCATATCTAACTCGATTAGTTTTAGGTGATACAAACAACCGTTAGGTGAACAAAACTATTATACTCTGTAGCAACAGGTTGCGAGAGTATAAAACGTAAGAATACAACACAAAATGTCAAATTATTGAGTTTATGGGACAAACATATTTTAATAGATTTACAAAGGATAACACCCAAACGCGTATTTATTCAGTCGATAATGTGATATTAATCTGAAAGTAAGTGTATACAAACATCGTAAATGCAAAGCCTCATGCGACTCCCTAGTGCATCAAGAGGATTACTTTTTCTTTAAAATCTTTCTTTAATTATTTCTTCCAATAATAAAAGCTAAAATAAGGAACTCATTGTGCTTTAGTAGACTTTATTCGATTTAAATTTATCAAACATTTCCAAATTTATTCATTTGCAAGGTTTGTCACAATAAAAAGTATTCGAATATTGTTTTGCATATCGAAAGACGAAAATTCAATCAGATTCGACACCATTGAAAATGAGAATTGGTTTGCAATTCTGACAACCAGCAAATCTGTTGGATTCCACAACACCCTGTATAACACAAAATCAAGAGAGAATATATGCTTCTTCTAACATATTGTTACTATGTAAACACACATATTTATTTACAAATGATATATTTGCCAAGCGCAAAACATATATACGTCTTTAACAATTAATAAAGATATCTATTATACGTATGATGACATATAAAACATATTTATGAAGTGCATATAAGTATAAGCAATAAACAAACATAGATTTATACATAAGTGCTAGAAAATACTGCACATTAACAACCTGTTGTCACGCTATACAATAGAATTGCAACTATACATACATACGGTATAGAATCTACCTCTTCTTATCTCACAATGTATTAATACAATTAATTTAAAATAATACCAAAAATAAACAAGACAAAGATCGTAAAATTCAAAATAATTAAACGATATATTCATCAACAAAATATATTCAGTATACCAACATACTTTTCATATGTAATTATAAGCATTTTTAAAGTCCATTATCCGGCAATACCCCTTGTTCTTTGGCAAACAAAACAAGGATTGCGGAAAAAAAACGCATTGATCTCTGACGAGCTCAACTGCATAAGATACGCATATACGCAAAGCAATTCGTGCATACTTATTTACAAAGCTATGATCTCTTCAACGAGCTCTCAATTGCAAAGACACTAAGCACGTACAAAAAGTCCAATAATAATATTGCAATTGAATACGAAACTTTATTAATAAACGTTTACAATATAATATAAATAATCATTACTTATTTACCGAAAGAAGTAATATACTTTATTGTTTTATTTAAATCAGTATACACTAGAAATTAATTCTTTGACACTTATTTAAACATATAAATAAAATGATCATGATAATAAACAACATACGCACTAGGATTTCAACTTCACCGATTCAAGACAACTCTGAATCGCTCTTAGAAATAAAAGCAAAATCTTAACAATTTTTGACCTGTCTGGGTCCTGACGCCATAGAGAAACGAGTCATCAGATCACCACAAATTTTTAAACCTCGGCTTTCGTCAGCTATGAAAACTGCTTTGACCAGTACGAAGCTTCAAATCAGATCTCCGATCAATTAAAGCTAATAAAACCTATTTCACCTACTCCACATTCGAGAGTAGAGATGCATAGTTTACAGCCGTATACAAAACCAAAATTATCAAAGCGCAAAATTGTATCACCCCGATACAAACAAAAGGTCAAGCAGGTGCAATAATCAAACTATTCGCAATAAATGATGACATTAATTTGGCTGGGAATATTGGTCGACAAACAAGTAACGACACTAACCAACTTGCCTAAGATTCAAAAGAAACATGTGAAGAATTTATTAGATTACTATCCACTGTTTCTAATTGTTTGTTGGTTTTATCGACACAAAATATTCCACAACAGCTGGGACCCCATTCTGGTAAATATATGCACCGCAGGATTACCAGAAAATGTTTTGTGGAGCAATCGTC